TTGTCATTTGTAACAACATGGATTGAACTGAAGGTTTTTGTGTGAAGTGAAATAAGTCAATCACAAAAGACAAACACTGCATGATCTCACTCACATGTGTTATCTAAAAAAGTTGATCTCAGAGAATAGAATGTGATTGCCAGGGTTGGGTAGAAAAGAGAGAAGGGAGGGTTTGAGAGATTGACTGATAGGTGCTATTAGATGGGTATAATAGATTGTGGTGTTTTGTTGCATAGTAGGGAGAACATAGATAATAATAATGTACTATAGATTTCTCTAAAAGTAGGGAGATTTTGAATGTTTGAACCCCAAGAAAATGATAAATATTTAAGAGAGTAAATATATTTTCCCTGATTTGAACATCACACAATGCAAGTATTGAAACATCACATAGTACCCATAAAATATAAGGGGTCTTGAAATTTTTCATGAAAATATGTATCACGAAAGCTCTTTTTATGTGTTTAAAATTTTTTACCAAATAAATTTGTCTTTAAATTTTATGAGCTTCATTGATTTTGAAAGGTTTAGGGAGAAAGGGGGAATAACCATGTGCTGGGTCCTTTCTCTAAATGCCTGTACTGGCCATGCCTGGGCCAGGTTGCAGACAGGAGCTGGGAACTCAGCTGAAGCGTCTCACATGAGTGGCCAGAGACCCAGTTGCCTAAACCATCACATGCACACTTCCAGGGTATGCGTTAGCAGGAAGTTAGAATTCAGAACAGAGTAAGGACTCTAACCCAGCTGCTTTGATATGTCATGTAGGTGTCCCAGTCAGCATCTTAACATTACACCAAATGCCTGCTCTCTCCCATAAATTTTCTTAAGTAGCCTATGTGTACAAGCTTAGGTATCAGGGGAAAAGAAGGAGTTTGTGCTAGAGATGTATTTGAGGGCATTAGCAGATAGTGATCATGGGTGAGGCTGTCTAGGGCAGTCGCTCTCTGCTTGTCCCTCCTACTGGCAGCATTGGCAACTTGGGAGAAATGCAAATTGTGCTGCCCTGTCTTAGGGTTTAAACTGTGAGACCTGAGGTGGTGCCCAGCAGTGTATTTTAAAGGGTTATGCAGGTGATGTTATTGCAACCTATCATTTGATAGCCTGTGATCTAGAGAGGAAGTGTGGAGAAGAGATTTGTTTCTGGGGTCTTTTCCGACAAGTTTTTGCATACGTCTGTTTCTTGCAGTTTCTCCAGTGTTTTTTTCTCCTTGATCCGTATTGGGTTGATTTATGTATAAGGCATAAGGATTCTTATTTAATAATTTTGTACACATAGATACAATTATCCCAGAACCATTTTTTGAATAACCCTTTCATCAGGGATTGGAATCATTGTACTAAGATTCAGATCATCTTTCAAATATTAGTTAGCTGCAGATGCATGGATCAGTTATTAGGGCTTCTATTCTGTTCCATTGGCCTACATGTCTGTTTTTGTGCCATTATTAGGCTGTTTTGATTATAACTGCTCTGCGGTGTGTCTTGAACTTTGAGGTTATGATATTTCTATCTTTGTGCTTGCTGTTTAAGATTGCTTTAGTGACTTGGGGGTATCTTCTGTTTCCATATGAATTTTAGGATCCTTTTCTCTAGATCTGAAGAAAATACCATTGGTAGTTTGATTGGTATCTCATTGCATCTGTACATTGCTTTCGTAGCATGGCCATTTTGATCTTATTAAATCTTCCATTCTGTGAACATACCAGATTTTTCCTTTTTTTTTTTTTTTGGTGTTTATTTCTGTTTGTTTAACATTTCACAATTTTCATTATAGAGATCTTTCACCTCCTTGATTAAATTTATTCCAAGATGCTGCTGTTTTGTTCTTCAGAACATAGGTATTCTGTTTTCTTGGTCTTCTCTTTGTTTACTACTCATTCATCTTATTTTCAAGTTTTAAAATCCATGATTTTCAGAATTTAAATTCCTATTCTTTTTGTCCTTTCTTTTATGTTTTCTCTCCTTGTAGGATTTCATTCTTTAAAAGTGCATTTAAAAATTCTCTTTTAGTGATATTTTAGTAGAAATAGTTCAGTCTTCCACCTTTATCCTTTCTTTGTTAATTCTTTTCCCCTCAGAAAAAACATAATATTTTTTGGTGTTCCTTCAATGTTAGTTTCCTTCCTATTACTGTATTCAGTAGGCTGCCATTACTAAACTATTTTTCTTTTGCCCACTCTGCCAGCCAAATTTTGTTATTATGCTGGCTTTAAGTGGTGCCACATAGCTTCCTGTACTAATGTATATGAATAAATGCATTTTATAGTAGGTGCTCAAAAAAGATATACCATCTTTTTTCAACCCAGAGTACATAGCTTATTTAATCGCATTTCTTATTTCAACTTGCACACATTTCACCATTGGTTGAGCCTGCAGTGACTGCTTGCATCTTAATTCTGCTGCATGGCAAATTAGCTCTTAGGCCCAGCTTTGCAGAGCTGCACTTTTGACCACAAGGTCACAGTAACTCTTTTTAGTCTTTGGTAACAGTTATAAGATAAGAGGACAAGAGATGTGATAGTCTCAGCAGTTTTACAGGCATCTGGAGAGACTTGGTCTGGAGTGTCAGCCACAGTTTGACAGGTACTGGCCAAATTGTTTAACACAGTCTCCAAGTGGAAAGACATCCTTTAAGGAAGAAGTGTCACCTCCATTTTTCATAATTATTTCTTAACTTTTTCACTATAGAAGTTTTTTTCCTGAATAAAATAAAGCAATAGTTTTAACGTAGAGTTTAAAGAGATAATTCAGAGTCAGTCAACATAAGGGAAAAAAGTCTGTATTTCTTCTAATGTTTAATAGGATTACATTCAGTGACAAATGAGTCCTGGAAATAACCCCTGGTAGTGTTAGCAATATAAGTAGCTTTGTCACAGTAGGAATTACAGACATTCCTAATGTTTTATTAAAGTTAGGTCTTAAATATTATTTATACTCATTTGTTCAAAATTATAGTAATCAGACATCATTAAAGCTTATTAGATTATCTTAATTTTAAAATACATAATGGGCTATTATCAACTTGTCTTAATATTTTGATAACCTTGTTAAAGTTTAATTTAGTTTAGTATTTGTTATTCCTATCTGTTTTATGCATTTAAAAACATTCTGAGAAAAATGGGTCCTTAGCCTCACAAGGCCATTGAAGGGATCTAAAAACAATGAAATACTGAAACCATGCCCAAAAGAGATGAGTGTAATGGAGAAGTATGAATATAAAAATATAAAAATATAAACTAGCATTTGCTCTTAGGGCCTCAGCTATCCTTTTTCTCTGGGAAAGTCCATTAAAACTTGCTTCTTGTGATTCATATTTTACCAGGGAGCTATTTTAACTGACTCACGAATTCAGGTATTTTTTGAAAGCCATCTGAAAAACAACAAAAAAGCTCAAAAACTTGGTATCAGATGGACTTCAAAACCTAGGATAACCCTCTTTACCACAAGTGAAGTTTCAAAATTTTCAGAAACATTTCTTTTGAGTGGCTTTGCTGACTTGATATATTTCTATTAGCTATCAGGATGCTAACACTCAGGAATGACCAAGTTACATTTTAGTTCATGACTTAGCAGCCACAGCTTCCTTAACCTTGGGGTGGTAATGATACTAAACTTGTTTTTGATGTTCGGCCCTTAAAGGTTGCCTTCTCCAAACACTGCCTCCCGGCACCCTCTGTCCTGCCCTTGGCAGAGGTGGTGTGGTATGTGGTTTGACTTTGTCAGGTCTGCTGCCTGTTTCTTGGGTCAGCAGTGGGGACCAAGTGGGAGAAATAGACACTGGAGGTCAAGTTTCTTGCCTGGGACACCTTGGAACCTTGCTAGTGTTAAAGTGCTGTGCCAGTTCTTGCTTAACTGACCCGAACTTGATACTTTAGTTTTATGTTGCCTGAAGCAAGTCTGTTAAGTTGCTCTAAAAACTTAAATAAAATATGAAATACTCTCTTTTCAATGCAGTTTCCCATTCCTTTTGATAGAGAGCGCTTTGTGCTATCTTAGAAGCTCTGGTGGACCCGGTGACTCTCAAAGTCAGGAAGTGTGACTGGTGTTTTCCTCTGCCTTTGTTTTTGTTTGGCATGGGGGAGGAGAGACTTTCAGTCTGTGAAAACAACACTGTGGTTCTGTTGAAGTACATTGTATTTATGGTGTTCTTGACAGATTGTCCTCCACTAAAAAATTTCTCATGCTGATGAATATTATTCTTAAAGAATCAAGTTCATTGCTAATAAGAACTGTCATAGTATTTGACAAGCACCGCGTCTGTGCCATATGCTGTATGAAGAACTTCACATGCTTTTTCATTTAATCTTGCAACAATGCTGTAGGCGATGGCTCCATCACGGACTTCCTTTCTCAGATGACAAAACGCGGACTGTAAAGGAAGTCCCTTACTCACATTCCAAAGCCAATGTGGGACAGAGGCAGAAGATAAGCCAAAGCACTCTGACTTTGGGGCTTAGCCACTTAGATCCGCACTCTTATTAATTCAGTCCATTGTTTGTGTTGTTCTTTGTTCATTTGTAAGGCAGATTTTTACAGAGAGAGAAGGTCTTCCTTCAGCTGGTTCACTCCCCAAATGGCCACAATGGTCATATGAGCTGATCCAAAGCCAGAAATCAGGAGCTTCTTTCTGGGTCTCCCACGTGAGTGTAGGGGCCCAAGGATTTGGGCCATCCACTGCTGCTTTCCTATGTCATAAGCAGGGCGCTGGATTGGAAGTGAAGCAGCTGGAACTCAAACCAGCACCTGTATGCGGTATCAGCTTTGCAGACAGAGGATTATTAGCCTGTTATGCTACCCACTTCAGTCCACTGTTAAAATGAAAGCCATTTCAGAAATGCTCTGGGTAAGCCACAAAAGCAGTGGAAGGATCGATGTGTTACATGGGTTTGCCAGGTTGACAACTGTGAAGCCAAACAAGCCTGTTTCCAACTGACTATGGTATTGTTCATTTGAACATTCTGCATGCAAGTTGTTAATGTTAAATTTATTTATATTTATAGGGATGCTTCCTTTGGAAATTGCACTTACAATCTCACCATCCTCGACTGCTTGCAGGGAATCAGAAAGGTAATAACAATTCTTGAGTAAATTGACACAGTAGACCAAAATATGAAAAAGGAATCATTCTTGGCAGCCTTGTTTGCCGAAGGAGGGGAGGGTGGTAGTAAGAAGACGGTTTGCACGTCCTGAGTGGTGACTGATTTATAAAATCTAGCTAGTCTCCCTTACCCATGGGTTCTTGGTTTGGGCTTCCAACTGAGCACAACTGAAAAATATTTGGAAAAAATGCATTTGTATTGAACACGTACAGGCTTTTTTTCTTGTTGCTATTACCTAAATCACATAGTATTTATACTGTATTAGGTATTATAAGTAATCCAGAGGTGATTTTAAATGTATGGGGGGGGTGATATGTGTAAGTTATATGCAAATGCTGCAGTATTTAATATCAGGAATTTGAGCATCTGTGGATTTTGATATCCATAGGAGTTGGGATCTGGAATCAATACTACACACACACACACACACACACACACACACACACACACGTTTATATATTCGGAGGGAAGACTGTACAGGTAGTAGGGCCAGCTGCAGGAGACAGTGGAGGGGCCTCCATTTGTCCTTTAAGTTGTTTGAGTTCCAGGGCAGATTTACCACTTCTGTCTGCTGTTGTGCCTGTGATATTGCCTGTCACCCATTTAGCTTTATTATCAAGCTTGATCTTGAGGTGGGAGAGGCAGGAAATGATCTGAGCCACTGTCCTCCTCGGTCAGTCAGTGCCCACCCCAGGCTGAATCACAAGCCCTGAGGCTGGCCCCCAGCGTACCCACCCCATGGTCTCTGAACAGTTTCTTCAGGTGATCTGATGCACTTGTAGTCACCAGCTTGGCATGGAGGGGATAAGCATAAAGCTTTTGTGAACTTCTGTACCACTTTTGAGATCAGTCATTTACAACCTGAGAAGTTATGTAAGGGAAACTGAATTTAATGAAAGCTCCAAGTACATAATTGCATATTAAACCTAAAGTTATGATTTGCTATCAATCAATAAATAAAGCGTGTATTATCTAACCTATAGGCAAAAGTATCATGGGTTATATGGCATTGGTAAATCTGCTCAAATATTCTCTGTTGTAAAGTTGACTGCTCTATTTTGAGTTGTGAAAAATCAGTATGACAAATATGCTACCTGATTTATGTATGTTTCTGATGTTTCTTGTTGAAATAAATTTGAACCCTCTAAAACTTAAAATTATTTCCACACATTTTTCCTTTTGCTTAAAAACCATGGAGGTATTATGGCCCACTCTTACAAATAATATCATCAAAATGTACTCCTAGAAATACTGGTAAGAGCCTTCATGGAGATATTACTCAACATATAATGTGGTATATAGTGTTCAGAAAATATTCAGGGGTGGAACAAGTACTTTATTTATTGTCATTATTATTATTTTGTGATTTGAGAGAGGCAATTTATAAAAAATAATACACAATTCAGAATGATTTCTCACTGGAATAGCCCTGCCTCCTTTTACATTTACTGATATTTCAGCTTAGAAATTTATATCATCTTTGCTGTTGAACATTTTTGTTGTGACTTGTTATGAATAAAGTCTCATCTAAATGTACTGTTTCATCAGTTATTGGGGTTTACACAAAGAGGAATCAAAGTCAGAGATTGTTCCTTGCATCCTAAAACAGCTGACACATATTGTAGGCTCTTGCATGAAATATTTTATAGGCTATTTTTTGTCATTAAGTAAGAATGCATGGACTTTAGCCACATTTTTTTGTCTTTTACAGGAGAATATTTCCCTGGTTTTGATATTTTTCCTTGAGAACAGAGAGTTTGAGTATTATTTGACCTTGTAGAGAGATTCATAAACACACTTAGCAAAGTGAATTGTTGGGAATATATTTTCTCTAGAGTGGTACATATGGTTAACTCAGTTTTTTTTTCAAAGGTGAATTTAAATAACTTGTGTTTATTCTGGATAGGTTGCCTCAACTCCTACTGTAAGAACTTAATGTTTTTAAGAATTACCTTGGAGGGCGCCATCATTGCACGGTGGATGGGGTTGAGGAGGAGGCGAACTTGGGACCTGGGGATTAAAACTTCCAGCAGCCTGTTGGCTGCTGGTGGGTGCCAGGCCAGGATCGTCTCCATGCTCGGAGCCCCCATTCCAACCACCGCATACACGCGGTGACTTGTCCCTGCTCTGGGGTTTCGGGTCTTTGAACTGCTGCTTAGGTAGCTCCATGTCAAACCCACTGTACTTCTGGGATGTCAGTCATTCCTAAAGACTCCCAACAACAGAGTAACTTTTCCTTTGAAGGTAAGCAAGGGTAATGAGACCTGGTAGGTTTGAGAAGAGGGACCAGATGATCTTTATGGAAAAGTCTGATATACCAACCTCCTGTCAATCTGTGTAGAACTTGTAATCACTGAACAAAGCTGAGCCACCGAACACCAGTCCATGCAAAAGCTAAGGCTTGGGACTTGTCTAGCATGACCATATCTTATTACCTGACATAATGATGGATCAGGAGACGAGTCTCATTAGGCAGGGCCATTACAAAACTAGCACACAAGAGAGCAATATCTGGGAGTAGATTCTGTAGCGGATGTTGGGCCAAACCCTGTGGAAATACTAGCTCACCAGTTAACTCAAAAGTTGGGGTGGTGATGGACTAAGCTAGGTGTGACTAAGGAGCCTGCCATCACTCACAGGAAAAGGAACTAGCAACAGTCTGGACTGGTCAAGTCAGCAGCACCCGAATGTGCATGCTAAATAGGATGTGGGGTGGGCCGGGCTGCAGTGTTCACCAGCTCATATAAGGCCAAATGGAAGGCCAGACTATGCCTAACACTGGCCTAAAACCCACTGGCATGTATGAGAACTGGGTCTTGGAGGAACTTGGGAAACTCCCCTGGTGGTTCATAGCTCCCGCTGGTGAACACATGGTCCAGACCTGGGGGTCAGACAGGCTGGGAAAAGTAGCTCCAGTGGCTGGCTAATGTGTGGATTGGTAATGCAAAGGAGTGGACTGGGCAGGACTGAGCTAACCTTAGCCCACAAGCAAATTTAAAAATCAGGGTGGAGCACAGGTCATGCTGAGCTAGGCTCTTGCGCCTATTCATCTGTGTGAGCCAGGGATGCTAAGCCAAAGCATCTAGGGCAGGGGCTGGGACAGGTAAGGGGTTGTGCCAAACTGAGTCAGAGCAACCAGTGGCATGCACACCATCTATGTCTGGGAACAGGCCCAGTTGGGGAGCTAAGGGGACACCCTAGCTATGTTGAGATTCCCACTGAGGACCGCAGGGGCTGGAATGGGGGCTGTGTTATGATCTGGATATGGCTGCAGTCTCCCTTGGCACAAGCACGGGTTGGGACTGGACGTGCCAAACCGGGCTAGACTCCAACACCATCTGGTGCTCTGGAGGACCAGAGTAGATGTGGGACGGACTAGGCTAGGGTCTTAGCCCCTATTGAGCCATGTGTGAGCTGTATGTGGGTATGGATGAGCTGTGGCTGGGCTGAAACATCCAACAATAAGAACTAGATTGGGTTGAAGGCCAGTCAGGGAAAAGCCACTGTTCCTGCTAGGACAGGAGGTGAACTGAGTAGGGCTGGCTCATGGACCCATTGGTATGCACTAAATCTGGCATTGGGAAAGGTTCTTATGTAGGAGCCTGGGCAACTCCTCTGGCAGGACACAGACCCTGCAGGTAAGCGTAAGAAGCATAATAAGAAACAACCTAGAGCAGGTCATGGAAAGTTACCCACTGGCATACAGTTGGCATGGGTTGGGGGCAGACCAGGCCGAACCAGTTTACATCATCCACTGGCGAATCTGAGCACCAGAACAGAGTGTGGGTCAAGCCAGATACGGTCGCGAAAAAAAAAAACAGTGCACATTATGGAATGCCAAGGTGAGGTGACCTGTACCCGATGTGACTGCAGTGCCCAACCAGCACATGTGAGAACCAGGGAGGGAGGGAGCAGAGCCAGCAGGAGGAATGTGGGGGTGCTCCCCTGTGGACAGCTACTTCCACTGGAGAACGTGAGCTGGGATGAGCGCAGACCAGGCCAGGCTAGGCAGGGCTACAACACCTGTGGGCCTCATGTGGACTAGATCAGGGAAAAGCCAGGCTGGGCTGACTGTTCCTTCTGGTGTAAACATTAGAGTGAGTGAGGCTTAGCCGCAGCATCACCTGGCAGAAGCTGGCACTTGGGGCTAATTTTGTCAAGTTACACTGCAGAACCACCTGGAGAGTGCATTAATCTGGGAGTGAGAGTGGCCTAAAAGGGAAATAGTGGGCATCTTCCTCTTGGGTTACCATTCCCACTGGAGGGCACGATACCGGGACAGGGGCTGGGGTGGCAAAAAAGAAAGGCACCCGACGGCATGTGTGTGGGCTGGATAGTTGGGCTGGTTGGGTTGAACTAGGCTTCAATGCCCATTGACATGTATGAGAGCCTGAATGGGATGTGGGTCACTCCCACTAGGCTGCTGCACATACTGGCAAACCAGGGCAGGGGGCGGGCCTGGTGGGGGTTATTGTGGGTCACTCCCACTGGCTGCAGCTCACACTGGTTTATGTAAGGACCAAGTGTTTGCTGAGCAAAATCAGGCTGGACTGCAACACCCATTGGTTCTAGTGGAAGACAGGGCCGGAAACAGAACTGACCCAGCAATTGCAACCACCAGCTGATTGGGATGATGGACTGTACCAGGCCCTGTACTGGCAAGCACACATAAGAATCTGGTCCGGGAACACCTCAGACAAAGTTTTTTTGGGGCTCTCCCAATCAAACTGCCGGACTCAGAACCCTAACCATGAAAAGACAGAGGACAGAACAAGTCAGTCAACTACCTCGGCCATATGTTGGCAGTGAAAAACTGGGCAAACAGACTCTAAAATGGACTATATCAATCGGTGGATTCTTCAGTGACATCATCGTGCTTTGAATGGCGAGACTGGCAGCAATTCATAACTGATGAACTATCAAAACCACTTGAGCAAGACCCTTGGAGCATGCCCCACATCAGGGACTGGGACGGGTAGGAGACTGGGTGGGGTTTCTCCCTTTGTCTTCCCTTTTACCCCAGATACAGGAAAAAACAATGTGGAAATAATAGTCTTACCCACTTTCCTGTAGCCCTTAAACCTTTCTGCCTTAATTAACTAGGTAAAGAATGTCAAAAATACAGAAAAAATATGAAAAAAAAGAATTACCTGGGAAAGTATATTAAAAATGCTAATTCTGGGACCGGGTTGGGAGTGGGGAATCTGGGGCTTTTTTTTTTTAAATACAAGCTTGTGTTTCCAACATAGGAGATAAATGTTTTATGTTTTGAGAAAACACTGCTCCCTGAAACACTTTCAAAGAGACATGAATGGGGCATGGAATACTGGTTTCTTTTCTATTTTTAATGACTTGATTGTGTAACTTTTCAATCTATCTGAGGTTTTGCATTCTATTGCAATATCATAGCTTCACAGTTTGTAAAATAAGAGCCTTTGTTTTCCTTTAAATATTAGATGTGAGGCAGCTAGATGGTTTTTTGAGGTGTAAAGTATTAGAAAACGGAGTGCCACCTCCTTGGGTGGTGCTAAGTTGTAAGAGCAGTGAGGGATATCTTTACTCAGAAAATGTCACTGTGAAACAAATTGTCCTAAGGTAGAGTTTTAAGAACAAGTTAGGGCCTATTAGTTAAAATGCTTTCATTTTTGGCTTAAATACTTTTTTATGAGAAAAGAAAAATAAACTTTTCTAAGAATAATTGATGCATCTTCCATCAGAGGAGTTAATCACTATGAGATATTCTGTCTAAGGTATGTGGTTCCCAAGAGGTTTTGACTAGAAATTGCTGGTATGTTCCATTTTCTAGATGTAATTATTTTACAAACAAACTGGCATATTAGAATTCAAGAGGTTTCTTCTGTGGAACATGTTTTTACTCTGTTTACTTACTGTCTTACTGTTTTACTCTGTTTACTTCTTGTTTTTTAAAGATTTATTTTTATTTTTATTGTAAAGTCAGATACACAGAGAGTAGGAGAGACAGAGAAACCTTTGCCTTTACTTCTAAGAGAATACGAAGACAGAATTACCACTGCTATGAAATGCTTTCTAAATATACATTACCAAAGGGTTCAAGCTTTCAGGTCCGTGGGGATTATTTTATAAGTAGGATTTCCAGAACTGACAAGTAGATTTTATCAACATAAGAGGGGGAAAAAACTAATCAAAATTCTACTTTCAGGGATTACAACATGGATTTTTTGACTTTGAAACATTTGATGTGGATGAATATGAACATTATGAGGTTTGTACATTTAAATTTTTTGTAACACTTTGTGTTGGTTTATATATGTATTTCCTTTAACACTCAGGATTGAAGACTGCATAGATGTTAAATGAAAGCATTCTGGATTTTAAAAAAATGATTGTCAAGGTTGTCCCTTTTTAGCATTTGAACTAGGAGTCAGACAAATCTTAATTCGGGAAAATGCCAAACTAAAATATATCTGTATATTCCTTTAGCCAAGTCTTTGTTATCTTACCAAAGTGATTGTTGTTTTCTTAACAATAACAATTTTTGTTATCTTAACAATCACTTTATACTTTTAATTTATTGGGAAAATAATTGGAGAATATTTGGTAGTGAAATTATTAGTTACTTTTAGCTTAAAATTCAAATTTTGTTTAAGACAAAATCAGATATGTGTTTCATAATATTTTTGTTGTATACATTTTATTTTGAAGCATAGCTGATTTGACTTAGTTCTAAGAGTTGGTATTCTCTGCACCCCAGCCCATGTAACTGTTACAAAGCCAAGGCAGTGTTTGGACAATGACTAGCCTAGCTTTTTGGTTGTGTCCTTGGGTGATGTTGAAGGAGAGAAGGCTTGTTTACATAGGGAGGAATCCCAAGTGATTAACTTTTCCTGAAAGATGAGAATCTGGGGATTGGGAGTGGGCACAACAGCACTCCCCAAATGAACGCAATGGCTGATGCTATGCCGATCTGAAGCCAGGAGCCAGGGACTTCTTCTGGGTATCCCACACGGGTGCAGGGTCCCAAAGCTTTGGGCCGTCCTCGACTGCTTTCCCAGGCCACAAGCAAGGAGCTGGATGGGAAGTGGAGCTGCTGGGATTAGAACCGGCGCCCATATGGGATCGCAGCATGTTCAAGGCGAGGACTTTAGCCACTAGGCCACACCTCCAGGCCCTTAAGTAAATAAATCTTTACAAGAATAAAGTCAATTTTATCAGAATGCCTCTTCTAAATATTACTAAAATGAGGTCATTATATCATGACAAATATTTGCATGACATCTACAGCAAAACCTTTACTCATTTGGATAAGGCTGTATCCATCTTCCTCCTGCAGTTCAAGGATCTAAAGCAGCACCATAGAAAGCTAATAGCATTCATGTATTTTTAAAATATTATGTAGCAAAAAACGAATAGAAGAAATGATGAAACTTATAACATGCATTTTTGACACAATATATTCAAAATATTTCAAATATATAATTGATACAAAAATTATTCATGAGCTGTTGTAAATAAAAGCAATTAAGTGTGTGAATTCCTTTGTATGGTTTATGCTATGATGCATCTTAATTTGGCCTCGCCACAGTTCAAGTGCAGAGTAGCCATGTGTAGCTAGAGTGCAAAATCTGGAAAAGAACAGTTTCATTCATGTGCCACTGTTACCCAGCCGAGACCTGGAGCCCAGGAGAAGCAAAGCAGATTGAATCTCCTTGCTTCATGTGATCTAATTGTTCATATGAGAGCCAATTTCAAAACCCTGTCATACTTAGAAGTCTTCACATCACCATCAGAATGCATGTTTTAAAAACTCAGACCAAACATCCTATGCCCGTGTTTTAAGTCTTCCATGGGCTCCACATTGTTTAAGTAATGGAGGAAATGCAAACTCTTCTATAATGCCCTTGTTAACATGAACAACACTTTTGTCCTTCATTGTACCCCAAATTCTGCTATTTCATAGACAGCATCCATTCTTTGTGCATTCCTTGCCTGTGATCCTTTCTTGCTGGATCACTGTATTTCAGTGCTGTTGTCGAGTCCTTCTGGAGCTTGTGGAAGCTATTCTCAAACAAGGAGTCCTTGTGCTCTGTGGGTTCTTCCAGCCAGGAACTGTGTCTTACTCACCTTTACTTGAATAAACCCAGCAGCCCAGGATTGCATTATGGGCAGTCGTTCAATGTTTCTGGTATGAATGAATTAATGGGTCAGTGAGTCATCAAATGCTAAAGACAGGAATATCGTGCATTTTATGTGACCCGTTATCAGTGTCAAGTGAGATGTGTTGGTTAAGAATCCCATTCTAATTTTGAAGCAATACTCTAAGAGAGATTTACTATCGTAGACAACTTCTGCAATGAGGTTTCTTTCTCCCAGCATCCATCTACACTGTGAGAGTGAGTTGTCCTTTTACAAATTCAATTTTCTTTTTTTGCAACAGAGATGCCAGCTATTGTCTTCTAATGCTACGTTTCTGTGTAACTTCAACTTTGTTAATCTGTATCTGACATCTCCAAGTTGATTGGGTCATCCTTCATTGCACAAATAACTTGTTCGCCTGACCAGGTGATATAGGCTCCTGGTCATCCCTGGAGAACCAGTAGAATTTATTAGGTCTTCCATTACTCAATAAATCACTTAGGTCAAGAGTGGGAGTCAGTGTTGTTTACTGACACACGGTGTTCTAAGGCTTTGCTTTGGGCTACATTGTGTATTGCTGCATTCTGCTTGATATTGCCCTTCCTGGTCATGGGTTGGGAAAATAAAGGTGAAAATTCTTGGGAACAGGAATTGTGTTATAGTGAATTCAACTGCCGTTTGGGATACCCACATCCCATTTGGATGGAGTGCTTGGTTTGATCCCAGCTAATCTGTGTTTCTGACCCAACTTCCTGCTAGTGAGCTTGGGAGGCATCAGGAGGTAATCTGAGTACTTGGGTCCTTGGTGGAGGGGACTAGATGGAGTTACTGGCTCCTGGATTCTGCCTGTCTTAGACTTAGCTATTTCAGCCATTTACAGAGTGAGCAGACAAAACACATTTTTTAAAAAATGGAAATTCCTGTCACAAGACTACTGGGGTCAAGCAAGTCCTGTAATGAAGTTACTAGGGTGTGTCTTCAGCACCTGCAGCAAGTATTGAAGGTGTACCTCCCACAGTTAGACTGTTAGACCTGTCAGAAGCATTCCTCTGAAGCCACCTCATATTGGTTGCACTTCCAGAGGCCACCAAGTTAAGGAAGCGAGATCCCTTGCTGTCCACTGCAGCTGCTCAAGTGGAGGGACACAGGGTTGTTTCACATCAGCTCACACACTACAGCTGCAGTGTTGGTTCTGAGATCTTGGTTGGTTGGTGAGAGACGTAGTGTTCTGAGGTCTACCTGTCCTGAAGAATTTCTTTTCTGCTCTTTGATGATTGATTTCTGCGTCTTCTTTTCCCTCTGAATTTCTTGCAGTCTGAGCTCTATCTTGACCACTCTGCTGAAACTGTTTTTGCTAACATGGGATTTAGCAGATCCAACTGGCTCTGTTTGGACTTCCTCCTTGATTAACTCTGTGGCCACTTTAATTTTGGAAACTCACTTTCCTTCCAAAACTTATAACTGCTATTTCTTAGGTTTCTCCTTTCCCATCCTTGAGAATTCCCGTCCTTGAGAATCTTTCTTAATTTCTCTTGCAAGTCCCTCTTCCTTTGTCCACCCGAGGAGCTGCTGCTGCAGGACCTGGTCATTTCTGTTTAGCATACTTTCTGTGATTGAGTGCACCTGTTGCCAAGTTTCAACCATGTTGCAGACCCCAGATCCCCGTGTCCTGAGCACAGGGATGGTATCTATGAGCAGGCGCTGGCTCTGCTCCCTGCCGTAGCCTCACCAAAGGTGCTCTCAGTGCTGGGCTGTTGCTGCAGTCTCCTTTGTGAGCTTTCTTCCCTGCAGCTGTCTTCCCCACCACAGCTGTTATGGGCAGAGGTGATGTAATTATCCCTTTTCTCTCCATTCCAGTGTGTCTCTCCAAAGCAAATCTAAATTAATAACCTAGAGTTTGATTATTAATTAAAATCAAATGGAATGACAACTTAATTTAAGCCAAACAATTCAAATATTTGCTCTGTGTTAAGCTCATAAAGTGCTAATCCTTATGACATATTTACATTTATGTAATACAGCTATAGTGATAATACTATGCTGTTGTTTTTAAAGATTAGGAAAATATCGGGAAGACATTTTCTTAATTAAACATTTAAAATATTTGCTTATTTGAGTGACAGAGAGAGAGAGATATGGAGGGAAAGAGAACAAGAGATCTTCCATGTGCTGATCCATTCCCCCAAACCTCTGGGGCTTGGCCAGGCTGAGGTTGGGAGCACAGAACTCCATCTGGTTTTCACTGTGGGTGGTGGTGGCCCATGCAGTTTGACCATCTTCCGCTGCTTTTCCAGGCACATTAGCAAGGAGTTGGGTTAGAGGCAGAGCAGCTGGAATTAGAACTTAAATTCTGATATGGGATGCTGGTGTTGCAGACAGTGGTTTAACGCACTGTGCCACAGGGCCAACCCTCAAGAGGAGACTCTAATGAATTAAAGAAAAAAAAAAAGACATTGAGTTCTGTCTCCTCAATTTACAAAAAAATAGTCTTTATGTTGTTGTCATACCTCTGTGGACTTACATGATAACATACATCCAGGTTCATTTATCTTTTCTTTTATGGATGTTATGCAGACAACAGTAGCGCCTACCTCAGAGGGCTCCAGTGAGGGTCGGATGGGTTGCACAAACACAGTGCGGCCTTGAAGACAGCCAGTGGTATAGATGTATTTGCTGGGACTGTCACTGTGATTGGTCATTCCCACTTGCCTTTGGCCTCTTAGAGCATGCTTATTGTTACTGTACATGTGACACTAGCTTCCCGTTCTTACTGTGCAGTAAACGCTTTTCAAACATTTGGCTGTTGAATTATAGTTTAAGATTGTTTGCTTATGTTGTATTAGAAAAATTATGTGCTAAAAAGAATTTGTGTTTTCATTGTTAACCTCAAGAACTATTTTTTGCATCTTATTGTATGTTTATTACAATGGTAAGTAGGCCAACTATTTTTCACAGGCATAGGTGTGCTTCTTTCAGATATTATAAAAATTCATTATTTCAAATAAGTCCTGTAGTATTAATTTATATTATTTTTGAATGGTTTTATTTTATATTTTAGTTATTTAAAAGCCACAAGGGGAGAGAAGGCAGGGAGGGGGAAGGGAGGAGAGAGAGAAATAAAAAGAGGTGGGTCATAGGTCATCTATCCATTGGTTCACTCCTTACATGTCCGCGAGAGCTGAGGCTGGGCTAAAGCAAGGCCAGGAACTCAGGTCCTGCCTGCCATACAGATGTCAGGTGTCTAGTATTGAGCTGTCACCTGCTGCCTGGGATTGCACATGAGCAGCATGCTGGAGTATAAAATGGAGCTGGGACTTGAACCCACACACTTTGATATACGCACCCCAGGTTGTGTTTTAATCACTGTAGCAAATGTGCCTCCTCCAAATTCTATTCTAAATGTTCCAGGAGAGTTAGCTATTGAAAAAATCTGTGAATATTTTGTAGACTGAAGCATCTTATAGCAAAGTGAATAATAATAACACCTATAAATACATTAATTTCAGGAATTTGGATTTCTATTTTGGAGGTTTCTTCTAGAAAATTCATCCACAGCTCTACCAGGAAGTATTCGATGTGGAGTAAGCTTTAGAGCAGCAGAGGTCAAACCATAGACTTATTGCTTCCTTCTTCAGATATTTGTTTATAAAATGTGGTAAAGCTGGAAAGTACCTGAAGTTCCATGTAATATAGATTTTGAAGTATATGTGTTTAATTAGAAAAGTTAATTTGTACCACTTAAAATATTCTATTAATAAATGTTGGGAAGTATATGGATCATTATGAAAGAAAATGCAGATATTAATTTGAAAGATTACCAAAGTAGGCTTATGTTTTATTGGGCCAGTTAAAAACTATAACGTTAATTTTTTTCCAGATTTAGTTTTTATACCTAAATCCTTTTGTTTACTCCCTCAACCATAACCAAGGTGATGAGGGTAGCCCAGTAACATCTAATGTTCATCCTTTCAGATAAGGAGATCTGCAAGCATGTTCTTTTGACTTGAATGAATGTATCCTAGTGAAGCCATTGCCTCTCTCTAGATAACTGTAAAAGACTAGAAATTTATTCAGATGGATATCTATGGCTCAAATAAAATGATACCGCACAGTATATTTATCTCACTTACTTGATAACAAAGATGCAGAAATAGTACATTTAGAAATCTGTTTTTATTTACTGTTCCACAAAATTCATATTTGTCTTTGGATGATCAGAACATACCTTCATTCTTGAATTTCTATATAGTGTTTTAAGCTTAATAATCACTGGAGAGAGATATAGAATCATTAGTTAAAGCTTTTAAAAATAATAGATATTTGATTGAGATGAGCTTTATTAGCTGCTTTATTCAAATTATTTTAAACAAATAAGTGGGGTTGGAGCAGTGGTGTTCCTGGCTAATTTTCCACCTGCTAGAGCTGGCATTCCATATAGGCATTGTTTTGTGTCCTAGCTGCTCCACTTCTGATCCAGCTCTCTAGTATGGCCTGGGAAAGCAGCAGAAGATGGTCCAATCTGGGAGACCAGGAAGAAGTTCTTTGCTCCCAGCTTTGGAGTAGCCCAGCTCTGGCTGTTGCGGCCATTTGGGTAGTGAACCAGCAGATGGAAGACTTCTTTCTCTGTAAAATCTGACTTTCAAATAAAAAATAGATAAATCTTTCAAGAAAATAATTATGTTTCAAATTTAAGTTAGTGCATGCATTCTTCTTTCTTAGTGTCTCTAAGATCCTACTTGGGGCACTATGATGATATTATGTTTGTTACTACTTTATTAATGTGATTCAGACATAAGGTTTATTGGAAAGTTGAATTTGTAAGTCTCTTGTAACTGAAAAGAAACATCTGCACTTCTAGATTTAAAATTTTGTAGTCAAGCTTTGGTGTTCACAGAAGCAGTAATGGATAATTTAATCAACACAGTGTCTCCATCTTTCCTTTGCAATGTTATTCCGACTGGTTTAACAAATTTTGAGTTCCTACAGTAATACACAGACTCTGTATTTGGCTGCGATTTCCACCATTGAGGTCTTGTCATATAGGGGAGGAGAGAGGGACAGTCACATGGCTGCATGGAGAGAACACAGCTGTGTTTCTTCACTGCCTAGAAAATGGAGACCACAGGGGTCTGAAGGCAAACGTGTATCATTCATTTTTTTATTTGACATGGGGTGAGAGGAGAGGGCCAAGCCTGGGCCAAGTTGGAGAAGGAACCTCTAACTGAGTCCCAGTCTCCCATGTGGGCAGCAGGAACTGATGTACTTAAGCTGATGCCCTGCTGCCTCCTTGGCAGGAAGCTGGATCAGGAACAGAGCCAGGATTCAGGCTTACCCACAGATCTGCATTCCAGCCTCCCATTTGGTGTCCTAACCATTATGTCCAATGCCCATTCCTATTTTGTGGTGCATCCCACAAATATCTCTCAATTACTTGCAGAATCTTAGGTGACCTTGGTTCTATCCCAGTGTCCATGTGTACAAGGGCTCAAGCAGAAGGTAAAAAATGGAGAGGATGCTGGAATAATGAGGAACTGCTTGATCCCTTTCCAAGCAGCATTTGTCTTGTGTCACTATCTGACCTTCTCTGGGTTGGCAACCAGCACCCTGGTTTGTGGTATACCTTGAGGGCTTACGGAACCTCATTCCACTACTCCCCCTGCTTCCCAGGATGCATATCAGCACTGACAGCAGAGCTAAACCACAGAATCAGAGCAGCTCTGACTGTTCGTCACGAGCCTGATGCCGATAGATGGTTTCCATTGTTTTCATTTGTTTACCATGTTCATGAAAAGGGCTCATGTTTTTCATTTTCTCTCACCTCCATTTGTTTATTACCAAGACAAGCAGTGTATGTTTTCGTTTCTTTTCTTTGTGAGTGGCCAAAAGACAAAATTATTTTAAGCACATACTTTTCCCTTAAAAAAAGCTATTTTTAAAAATATGGTCTAAACTTTCTGCAAAATATAAGTGAAAATTTTCTATGTTAAACTGAAGATAAATAGTATTTGAGAATCAGTACATGTCTTTATTTTAAACTTTATTACTTAGGTCTTCATGTTTGTCCAATTAATATAAATCTAATACTGTGAAGATTTTTTGTAAGGGTTTCCTAAATTGATTAAGAATTATAAAATATTTTTCTTTTTTCTCCCCATAAAATTCTGCCAGCGAGTTGAAAATGGTGACTTCAACTGGATTGTCCCAGGAAAATTTTTAGCATTTAGTGGACCACATCCAAAAAGCAAAATTGAAAATGGTAGGTTTTTTTTCTTTTATCATCCAAAAATTAGTTTTAGTTCATCTTCTCTTATTTCTTAATTTTCTCAAGTAATCCTTTCTTCTGATACTGTTTTCCAAAAATTCTCTTTAAAGTTAAAGCAATTAAGCAGTGGTAGATAGTTTGTAAAATATATGTTTCTTCTAGGTGGGACTATAACCAGTGTTTTAAATAGCAACTTTCTTAGAATGGCATAAATAGGACATTCACATTATGTGACTCAGTTACCAAAGAAGAATCTGAAAACTCAGAAACAGATTGCTGAATTCTATCAGTAATTCCTGATTTCTCCTAGTGCTTCTCAGATTTATTTGATGGTTGAATATCAACATAATGTTGAATACTACTAATGATGCTTAAATGTCACTGAGTACCTATTAGGTGCTGGTTACTAGCTCATTGCAGTATTATCTCATTTAATGCTCACACAGCTCTGTGAGATGTAGATGCCATTACGTCCCTTGGACACAGGGAACATTGAGACTTATTATCAGAGAATTTTCCCAAGCTCACAGAGTAATAGGCAGAAATGATTCTTTCAATTAGAGCTGAGCTCTAAAGAATGCAACTAGATTGATTTTTTTTTCAGTTCCGTTGTGACTACTAGGAACAATTTTCTAGCTGAGAGTAATTTAACTACTTCTTTGCAGAATATGCATGGCCATGGTCATATATATATATATTCAAGAAGCAAGTGCAAAACAAAAAGTAAACATCTTGAATGAAATAAGATCAGCTATGCTAGTTTGCATTTATGATTTTTTTATCTGTGCCACGATTTTGTTGATTTATTTTTGCATGTGATCTAAGTTATTTAAAGTCTTGTACTTTTAAAAACTACTCTGGTTTTCTTACATATGAATACATCTGCCTACAGCTCTCATTTCTTTAAATTCTTTTGGAAGCAGAATCACCAGATAAAAAGTTATATGTATTTTGTGCTATAATTATGTGAAAATTCTCATTTATTTAGCTCCATGTATTAATGTGGGGGAACAACTATGGCTGCCACTTGTTTTTTTTTTTAAAGATTTATTTTTATTGGAAAGGCGGATATACAGAGAGGAAGATCTTCCGTCCGATGATTCACTCCCCAAGTGAGCACAACGGCCGATACTATGCCCATCCGAAGCCAGGAGCCTCTTGCGGGTCTCCCACGTGGGTGCAGGTTCCCAAAGCTTTGGGCCGTCCTGGACTGCTTTCCCGGGCCACAGGCAGGGAGCTGGAAGGGAAGCGGGGCTGCTGGGATTAGAACCGGCGACCATATGGGATCCCGGGCGTGCAAGACTTTAACCACTTGCGCCACCGCGCCGGGCCCTGAGCCTAGTACGCATGTCATCCTCTGTGTGACGGGAACCATCTCTGGCGAGGAGCAGTTCTGTTATGGAGAAGGTGGTGATGCAGAGGGGTTCCCCAACTTGCTCAGGTTCACACAGCCAGTATGTAGGGGCAGGTGGATTCAAACTTATGTCCAGAGATGTTCAAATGTTGTGCTTTATTTTTAAATTAGTTAACAATGCCATATAAGGTCAGTATGGAAAATATATGCAAAACAGGGAAAACCCTTTAACGTCATATCGTCTGGAAGCAACTACCTTTAAGATATTAAGATATTTAATTTGTGTCTGTACAGAAGCACTTCAGAAGTTCATGGAAAACGATACTGTTTGCATTGGTGCAAACATTTTGAAATCCAGTCTTAGTTTTTTCATAGTCTGTATTTTTCATTTATGTAGAAGTCTCATTTCTTTTTCTATGCAAATGTTGTGCCTTCTCATATGGAGGAAAAAAGCCCTGGAAATTCTGCTTACCTAATACTTGGTTTTCGTGATGACTAGTACAATTTCACTAATGACTGCCCTAGGTTAAGTCTTGACATTTTACTGGCATGCCATTTGGGAGATCTGATATTCACTAAGGGCGTCTTCATCAAAAGGAAGCCCTCCCTCCACCCCTGCCCCGTTCCTTTGTATAAAGGACTTTGATTTTGTAAAAACTTGTTGAACTGAAGATAACAGTAGAGAATTGTTTTGCGAAGGCATTAGTAAGCTTGACTCCACCGCAGTGGGATCTTGGGATGTTCTTTTTCTTTGCTTTGAGTGGTGAAGCCCTGTGTTTTCCGAGGAGCTGGGAAGTCCTTCTAGATCTGTGAGTAGAAAAGCTGAGATTTTGGAGGTGTGAATGCTTGCATAGTGGTTGCTAGGATGTAGCAAAAGGCATCAGTCAGGAGAGGGCAACCAAGGCATTCCTCTGAGCCAGTCTTGACTCTGTGCTAACCCTGGAGGAGAGAAGAAGGAGCTCTACTTTTATGTAATTACGTTTGGTTTAGTAATTTGAATGATGACCATAAAATGAAATATATTGTGAATTTCAAATTTCCTGAAAAAGATCTCGTAAGTAGCAATTCCATTCTTTAAACATACTCTACACATGCAAAGAAAATGACTTGAAACAGGGAATTCCACCAGTTGGGAGCATCATCGGCCTGCTCCTTTTATGAGAGGGAGGGAGAGAGAAAGAGAGAGAGAGGGAGAGAGAGAGAGAGAGAGAGGCTCTGTGGTAAGAGGGGCAGGCTGAAGCCTGCCTGGCATCATCCCTTTCTGGGCGTGAACACCAGTAACTGCTGTTCTTTCTCAGTTGTCACAGTGGGGCGTGAACATATTACAGGAAGTACTTCGCATCACTTTGAGCACTTAAAGCGTGCTCATTCGATAATACATATTAGGGTTACTTTTATTCTTTTTAAAAATTTCTTTATTTATTTGAAAGGCAGAGTTAGGGAGAGAGGAAGAGACAGAGAGATCTTCCAGCTGCTGGTTCACTGCCGAAATGGCCACCATCATGGGAGCTGGGCCTGGAACTTTTCCCAGGTCTCCCCTGTGGGCGTGGGGACCCAAGCAAGTGCGTTATCCTCAGTAGCTTTCCTAGGTGCATTGGCAAGAAGCTGGATTGCAAATGGAGCGCCAGGCCCCTATGTTTAGTTTTTAAAAAATATTTATGTAGGGCCTGGCATGATGGCTAAATCCTCACATTGCAAGTGCCAGGATCCTATGTGGGTCCCTTTTCTTGTCCCAGCTGCTCCACTTCCCTTCTAGCTCCCTGCTTGAGGCCTGGGAAAGCAATAGGTGATGGCCCAAAGCCTTGGGACCCTGCACTTGCATAGGACACCCGGAAGCTCCTGGCTCCTGGCTTTGGATCAGCTCAGCCCTGGCCATTGCAGCCACTTGGGGAGTAAACTAGTGGATGGAGGGTCTTTCTCTCTGAGTCTTCTTCTCTCTGTAAATCTGACTTTCCAATAAAAAGAAATCTTTATATATACGGATAAATTTATGTTTATGAAATTTATATATATACAAAAGGCAGAGTGTCAGGGAAGGAGAGGGAGAGAATTGGTCTTCCACTTGCTGCTTCACTCCCCAAATGGCTGCAACAGCTGGCTCTGGGCAGAGCTGAAGCCGGACCTGGGAAATTCATCCTAGTCTTGTGCAGGAGCAGCGGGGACCTGAGTACTTGACCTTTTGATGTTGCCTTCCCAGGTTTATTATCAGGAAGCTGGGTCGGAAGCAGAGTAGATGGGACTCAAACTCACACTCGGGCATTGGTTACTGTCATTCTAAGCAGCAGTTCAACCTGCTGTATCACATGCCGGCTTCCGTGATTATGTTTTTGTCATCAGTAATCTTAATTCTTAGACATATATTTTTTGTTATCCTACGTTTGCCTACTCATTGTGCAATTTTTCCTTTTAATACTGACTGGGTAGGTAATCATTTGAATCTTCCATTCTTCAATTTCCTAGCTTTAGATGAAGAGCTGGGAAGAAATGAATTTTACGTTTTCTGATAGCTGTGTTGTCTGTGTGGGTAGCTCACTTCTGTGGCTTCTGCCTGTTTCACCAGTACCAGCGCGCCATCTAGTGGGCAGAGGTAGTAGGTGTCGGATGTAGCTTGGTGGGATGGATTTGTGAACAGTGTGCCTTGCTGAACCCTGTCCCAGGTACAAAGTATCCAACTAGGAGTGGCCCATTAGCCTAGGAGTTAATAGGTATGTGTCCCCTACTGGGATGCCTGGGTTCCATGCCATGCTGGGGCTCCTGACTCCAGCTTCCTGTCCATGTGCAGTGTGGAGAGAGCAGGTCCAGGAGCCCGCAGCACCATCCAGGTCTCCCATGTTGGTGGTGGCTAGGGGCCAAGTACTTGAGACATTACCTGCTGTTGTCTCAGGTGCATTATCAAGGAGTTGGATCAGAAACCAAGTGACTGGCACTCAAACTAGTGTTCTGCTATAGAATGGTGGCTTAGTCCTCTGTGCCAAAGTGCAGACTGGTCTTTCTGGCTCTCACAGTCTTTCATAAAAGCACCTGAAGACATTGGTAACATGCACAAACAGTAGAACTGAGATCATAGGATGTTTCCATTTGTTTTGTTGATTATAACTGACCTGAAACAATTGTAAGGTATATTTTGTTTTAAGTTTGTTTCTGTTGCCTTACTTGGAGGCTTAGCTGGCAGAATGAAGTGGAGGCTTACCTGAAGTCCAGGACAGGTGTAGGAACCTGGCGGGCAGGGCTTAGATGCTTGCCCTGCCTCTTAGTGGCGGTGTATGAGCCGGTTCATCTTTGAAGGCATCAGGAACCGAGTGATTGCAGGATTTAATGAGACAGTCCCGCCGAAGCAGCTGGCATCCTGCCTGGCACACAGTGACCCAAGCAGTGTTAGGAGCAGTGATTGTCATTGTTGTTTCCGTGCCCTGTGGCCAGATGCGACAGTTCTGTCCAGTGTTCTTTCCTCAGACGATACCATTGTTTCTGTAAGAGTCAGGTTAGCCAAGCTGTCCTGGTCAAACCCTCACTCCAGATGAAAAGTCACATATGAAAATAGAGGGGGGGAGAAACAGTTGGGAGTTGGTGTCGAAGTTTAGTTTCTAGAACTCGGGGGCTCAGAGAAGGAGTCATTCATGTGGCTGATGCTTAGACCTCTGACCATGCAGCCACTGCTTGGACCTGGGCTGAGAGGAGGAGCTGGCCTCCAACCCCCGGCCCCCGACCTCCGACCTCCAAGGCAGGTGCTGCAGGATGGCGCTGCGTGTGCCCGCCCAAGCTGGGTGCTCTGGCCGCTCCTGGCTTCTGCTGAGGTGGTGCTGCCAGGAGCACAGCCAGGAGCTCTTCTCCCTGCAGTTGCCCTTCAGCGCCTCCTAGTTTTAGAGGCAACTGCAAGTCAGCTAGAAATGTGGTCTGGGAAATGCAATACATGGGCCTTTGCATCACAGCGTGGAGTTGAGCTGAGAGGAAATAAGAAATGTTCAGCATTAGCATAATGCAAAGGCCACGGTTGTGGTGCAGAGGGGATCTGACACATGGGCAGGCTCTGCTGCTGCCACCCTGGAGCCAGTTCCTCAGGAGATGGTCCTATTCAGTTAGTGTGCAGTGTGCCAGGCATCAGTGCACCCAGAATGGGGTGCAGATGAGCTCCTTGGGGTGTGAGAAATCACCCTGCTTCACACCAGGGCTGCTGTGGCGGCCTGCATGGCCCAACCCCTCACTGAGTGCCACTCCTGGCTGGCCAAGACTTAGTCTGTACCCGAGAAGGCTCTGAGTTCCCAGAAACACCTGCCCATGGTAGAGCTGCTGCAAAGCAGAAGGGAGTTCATTGCTCAAAAAGGGATGTTTACTTATGTCTATTTGTAAAATATGGATGTTAGCTCTGGAAAAAAAAAAAGGCTACTTATTTGGGATGCAGACCAGGAGAGCTCCCAACTGTTGGCTGAAGCAGAACCTGGGAGCTGTGAACTCAACGTAGGTCTCCCACATGGGGGGCTGGAACCCAGTTACCTGGAACACTACCGTTGTGTCCCAGGGTTGGCATCGGTAGGCAGCTGGACTCAGGGGCCAGCACTGTGAATCAGTTCCAGGTACAGCTATACACCTATGCAGATGTGTCTTAATGCTGGGGTAAGGCCCACCTCTGTATTTTCAATTGTCAAAAATTGTCTATGGTGTATAATGTGTTTTTTTTTTAAAGATTTATTTTTATTATTTTTTCATTGGAAAGGCGGATATACAGAGAGGAGAGACAGAGAGGAAGATCTTCCGTCCGATGATTCACTCCCCAAGTGAGCCGCAACGGGCCGATACTATGCCGACCCGAAGCCAGGAGCCTCCTCCGGGTCTCCCACGGGGGCGCAGGTTCCCAAAGCTTTGGGCCGTCCTCAACTGCTTTCCCAGGCCACAGGCAGGGAGCTGGAAGGGAAGCGGGGCTGCCGGGATTAGAACCGGCGCCCATATGGGATCCCGGGCGTGCAAGGCGAGGACCTTTAACCACTTGCGCCACCGTGCCGGGCCCTATAATGTGTTTTGAAATATATATATATATGCACAGATAGACACATCACAGAACAGCTAAGCCAAATTTCACATGGCTCACCTTGCCTGTTTGTCCTTTGTGTGTGTATAATCTACCTTTCCAGTTACTTTCAAGTATTCAACATGTTGCTTTTAACTAGTCACCAACTGTTGCACAGCAGATCCACAGAAAGGGTTATCCTGTCTCATTGAAATGTTACATCCTTTGGCCAAGGTCTTCGAACACTGCCCCTGCCTGCACCTCTCTCCTTTTAGCTTCTTCCTCTAGAGCCTCTATTTAGCTTGCTGCTCCAGAGGTTGGGCTGGTGTGTGTGTGTGTGTGTGTGTGTGTGTGTGTGTGTGTGTGTGTGTGTGTTCCATCTCAGCGGCCTGTGCTGTTTGCAGCACCGTGCCCATGGGGGAGCTGGCTTGTATGGCTGTGAACCCCCGCTGTCCCCTACGCCCTGGGTCAGCGAGGGCTCTGCTTACTGTTCCTCTTCCCCTCCAGGTTACCCTCTGCACGCCCCGGAAGCCTACTTTCCTTACTTCAAAAAGCACAACGTGACTGCCATCGTGCGGCTGAACAAGAAGATTTACGAGGCGAAGCGCTTCACGGACGCCGGCTTCGAGCACTACGACCTGTTCTTCATCGACGGCAGCACGCCCAGCGACAACATCGTGCGCCGGTTCCTGACCATCTGTGAGAACACCGAGGGCGCCATCGCCGTGCACTGCAAAGGTGGGCGGGCGCCGGGAGCGGGACCAGCTCAGCACACGACAGAAAGCTGGAGCACCGTCACCCCCTCCGCGCCTCCCCCAAAGCAAAGGGTCGCTTGGTGCGGCCAGCTGGTCCTGGCGTGTGTCTAGGCTCCGTGTCCCCGTCCACTGGCTGACAGCGTCCTGCTCTCCTCTCCTCCACTCCCCTCTAGTCCCTTGCCCCGGCAACAGAGCCTACTTGGGCCGGCTTGGCTGCTGTGGTGCCTCTGGAACTGAATGGAAAGGCTGGCTCGCACAAGTGAAGCCCTGGCCCATGGGCGTGCATGCTCCCTGGCAGGCAGGCTCTTGAGAATATAGGAGGTATGGAGTTGCCCAATCAGTGACCACTTCCTGTAGTACAGATATGAGGGTCTCAGGAAGTGTGTGGAGAACAAATTTAGATGGGAATACCCGCTTAGAAGTTTTGAGGATCCCTTCCTGGGTTCCCAATACTGCACAGGACACAGTCCTGTATTTTCTCTGATAGTCTCTCAGTGCAAGTCAGAAAATAGGAAATGGCATTTGCTCTAGGCTTAGCAATTAGACTCCAACGAAACTCAGATTTCCTTTTGGCTCTTTTTAGAGTGTATAGACTTTGGAAGGTCTTTGTCGGGGTCTCTGACGTCCCTGTGTGGGATGGAGCCGCCTGGCGCCTCACACGCCGCTCACCGCGCGCCGCCAGGTGGCGCTGTGCGCGCGCCGTCCGAGGGCGAGCTTCATGCTGATGCTCCCGTAGGAGGGCGGCGAGATGGCACTGTTCTTTTCGTGTTCCTGGTGCTGCTCTGACTGACTTGTTCAGACGAGCATGGCTTTGGATCTGACAGAAGTTAAAGTACCATTTTGTAGGCCCTTGTTTCTATGTTTAAGATGCGAGTAGGTGGAGGTACTTTGCCGAACATGTGAGCGGCAAAGGGAAGCGGGAGGGATGGGGAGGGAGGCACGTGGCCCCTGTGTCTGAGGGCGCCCCGGGGACCCGGCTTTGCCCGCCTCTGGGTGATTTTGAGGGTGCGTTTACCTCCCTTCTGGCTTTCTAGCAGGGTGGCACCAGGGTGTGCCGGCAGTCCCCCTTCGGGGAGGCTGGACGGGGCGGGAGGATGGGGAGTGCTGGAATGGGAATGATGGTTGGCGACGGTCTGTTGGCTGCTGAGAAGGCGTGTCTCGCGCACCCTATAGTTGCTCTTCTCAGGGGGTGATCCATTTGCACCCCCAAGATTGTCTTCTATCCCGTTTTATTAGAAATTGCCCAGGTCCAAGTAAAAGCCTGCGTGTCACACGTTTCAATTATCCATGGAACCGGAGGACTCAGAGAGAAGGCAGCCACACTGATCAGTAGGAAATACCAGCCGCTGTTTCCAAGTTTGGTTTTGTTAGAGAAATCGGTATTTCTCCTGGGTTTAATTTAGCCTGGTTTCCTGTTTGTTCACTGTGTGGTCACTAGGTCACAGGCTGTCTGCAGATGGAGGAGAGTCCACATCTTGGCCCATCACGTTCAAGGGAGAAGAGAGGCAACGTTTTCATTAAAACTCACATTTTAAAATTTATGTATCTATTTAAAAGTCAAAGTTACAGAGAATTGTTCCATTCCCCCAAATGGCTACAAGTGCTAGAGCTGGGCAGGTCCAAAGCTGGCAGCCAGGGTCTTCCACCTGGTTGTAGGGCTGGCCAGTACATGGGCCACCCTCTGCCACTTTCCAAGACCATTAACAGAGAGCTGGATGGGAAGTGGAACAACTGGGACTTGAACTGGCACCGATATGGGATGTTGGCACTTCAGGTGGAGGCCTAACTTGATACACTGCAGCTCTGGCCCCCACATTCAGCATCTTTATGATAGTGTTGCTCGCCTAAGAAACACGTTGAAAGTAAAAATGCTAATGTGAAATATTCTCGTTACAGGTGATGTTGTTTTTACACCCTTGACTTGTGTTTAACTTTTAAGTAATAGATCGTGCAGATATTTACGAGTGGTTTTGCAGAAGTTTGTATGTTCTTGTCTAAAATCAGAGCCTGTAGCATGGAGCTGAGTTCTTAGGTAGATCATGTGTGGTGACATCTTTCTTAGATGTTGTTTCATTTGCTTCCATTTGTACACACATTCTTTTAGCAGTGTTATGTCTTTGGTTTAATTACAGCTGCATTGCTTTTAATGGAAGACTAATCTAGTATAGGTCTGTTAATTATTTTTGACATCTGCCCTGATTAAGTCAGCTTAATTTTCTGAGACTTGAAGCAATGATCAGTAGAGGAGGGAGAGAGAAGCTCATCCTCCATCAAGTGAAGTTTGCTGGCCGCTGGACAGAGAACGAAATCTGTCATGTGTCAGCCACGTACTGAGCACAGAGACGGCCTGGGAAGGAGTGAGTGAAGCCTTGCAACAAGCACCTGCTGTCTGTAGGGATGGCTGCGAGGTCTTGAGATATTCTCCAGCACAAATAATAATCTAAAATACAACCACACTGTGAAACTCCACTATGTGGTTATTGATGTTCTATAGGGATCTCAGAAAGCGACTGGAACTATAAAGCAGTTGGTGTTTGACGGGGTATAAATAGAGCACTTTTCAACATCTTGTCATGCTGTGCCAGGGAGCCCTTTAATTATGAATGCTTTAAGAATTTTGCTCAAGTTTTTATAGAAACTTAGTGAAATGTTCCTATTCTGTTCAATTGCGGTAAGAGCTCCGAACTATTGAGTGCTAAGTACATTCTTTTTATAGATCTAAATTATAGACTCTTTTTTTAAAAGGGGGATGCAACTTTAGTTCCAGTGAAATTTGAAAATTTTCCTGCACCACCTTTTCGGTTGCGAGAGCTCCCAGGATCGCAAGGGAGGGAGCCAGGTGGCTCCTTGCACAAAGGAGGGGAACAATGAGAGATGGCGTGGTCCCCAGAGAGAAGTCTGTCTTCCATTTGGGCTAGTGAGCCGAGGAGGGGCTGGGGGCTTCAGGGCGCTCAGCTGTGCTTTTTCTCTGTGGTTCCCTTAGACCTGTCAGGATGTAGGGGATTTGTTGCAGTATACCTCGCTTCTCCCAAATAAATGAAGGTCTCCCAGTGAAACTGTTAAATACATCTTGACAATAGGATGCTGGTATCATGATACTCTTAAGTAGCAGAATGATGGACTTGTGAGTATTGCTGAAGGACTAATAATATGGGGGAAATAATATGGGAGAGGAGGATGGGGAGGGTGGAAGAGACATCCCTGAGCCTATGGAACCATATCATGAAAAAAAAATACTATATTTAAAAAAAAGTGTATTTTGTTTCTGGGGGAAACAGAAAGGCCAAGTATTCTTAACTCTTAATATTAAGGGAAGCACCCTAATTGAGAGCACAATTACACTTCACTCTTTTCTAAAGAATGTTGGCATTTGCTCTGAGGTGTAAGTTACTTCACTTGAAAACAGGATACACACACCTATTATACACATCTCATCTGATAGAACAATGTGTCTATTCTTCAAGAACTAATGGGATGGGATGTGTGTTTGGTTCAGCAGGTAGACCCTGACAGGGGTGACTGCGTCTCTTATCATGATAGTTGGCTTGTGCCTTCCGTTCCGGCTGCTCCATTGCATCTCTGGTTTCCTGAGAGGATGCCGAGGGTGGCTCAAAGCCTTCTGTTGCTGCCACTAAGTGGGAGATGCTGATGGAGTCCCGGGCTCTCCTGCCTGGTCCAGCCCTGGCTGTTGCAGGTCGTTGGGGACTGAATCAGCAGATGGCAGGTGCTCTTTGTCCTGCAGCTCCCCACCCCACCAATCTCACTGCATTGCAAATAAGATGAAAATAAATGTGAAAAATTAAGACATATTGAGTTGGACTAGTTGTGTGTTTTAAAGGTTTATTTCTTTGCTTTTTCAAAGACACAGAATGACAGAGAGAGGGAAACACACATGAGGAGAGCAAGCGAGAGAGATCATCTATTTGATTTACACCCCAAGTAACTGCAATGGCCTGGGCTGGGCCAGGCCAAACACAGGCACCTGGAAATCCTTCCGGGTCTTGCATGTTGGTGACAAGGGCCTAAGGACTTGGGTCATTTTCACTACCTTCCCAGCTCCATCCGCAGGGAGCTGGGGTGCAAGCCAGGACTCGAACTGGCACTCATGTGGTATTGGTGTTGCAAGTGGCGGCTAAACTCAGTGTGTCATAATGCCGGCTCCATCCTTATTCTTTTTAAAAAACTATTTTCATGGATGAAAATGATGTTGTGCCAGTTTTCGATGTCAGAAGTATCAGTTATCTCGAACTGTTGCTGTGGCCCATTTAGAGTGCCTTCCTCATTGAGCTCTCGATGGGTGCCCCCAGCCCCCTCACATGGCCTCTGTTCCATCCAATCCTGTGGTCTGCTGCTGTCAGACCCACCTGCTTTTATTACATCACCTTCTTGTCCCTAAATCTATGGCAACTCCATTTTACCCTTCCTTTGTTGAAAAGTAAAATACAGCTGCCTGCACGCTGGCACCTGCAGGCTGATTAGCTATTGACGAGAGTACTGCACTTGAACCTCGTGGGCTTCTGGGCAGGGTTTGATTTGGGTGTTTTGTTTTTTTTTTGTGGGTTCATTTGGCATACTTTGTATTTCTTGGTTCTCTCTCTTCCAGCTGGTCTTGGGAGAACAGGGACACTGATAGCCTGTTATGTCATGAAACACTACAGGTTCACACACGCTGAAATCATCGCTTGGATCAGAATATGCCGGCCTGGCTCCATTATAGGACCTCAGCAGCACTTCCTGGAAGAGTAAGTACACTGTCTGCCTACTCAGCCTCCTTGTCGCTGCTGCTCTCTGCCCGGCCTTCCTCTGGGCCGTGGACCATGCCAGGCCAGTGGCTGCAAGATGGCTACGTTGCTGGAGAAGCCTCTGCTTCTGCTAGGATGTTGTTGATTTGACAGCTAATACATTCTAACTTTGTACCTTTTATATCTCTTAGATCAGGTGAGAGAGAAGAAAATCACAGAGCCATCTCTGCCTACCCTTTTTCTGTCATTTTCTCTGTGTGATCTGGCTACAGTGCAATTTTCTTATGTCATCCCACTTGGCACTTTTCATTCTTTTCTTTTGTTTGCACGTCTAAAAGCAGAGCTAAAGGAAAAAACCCCACCATAATTAGGGTCACTCATGCTCTCCTGACAACTAACTGAACTGCTGGCACAGTGACAACTTACAGTACACAGGAGGAGTTTGCAAGGAAGGAAAAAGAAAATGCCGGGTTTTACCCTGACCCTGTGATTGGCTTTATGACTGTGATTTTAGACTACTTACAAATTCACGTATTCACTCGTTCATCAAGTCACTTACTTGTTCACTGATGAACGTTCTGTCCCCACCCGAGGAGGTGCAGAGGTGGAACCTCTAAGGTGCGCAGGTCTTTCTGGTCCACCTGGGTTTTCCTTGAAATGCTAGAATTTATCATTATGGGCCCAGCACGATAACCTAGTGGCTAAGGTCCTTGCCATGCACACCGAGATCCCATATGGGTGTTGGCTCTAATCCCTTAGCCCTGCTTCCCATGCAGTTCCCTGCTTGTGGCCTGGGAAGGCAGTAGAAGATGGCCGAAGCCTTGGGACCCTATACCTGAGTGGGAGACCTGGAAGAGGCTCCTGGCTCCCGGCTTTGGATTGGTGCAGCACCATCCATTGCTGCTACTTGGGGAGTGAATCAACAGATATAAGATCTTCCTCTCTGTCTCTCCCCTTCTCTGTATATCTGACTTTCCAATAAAAATAAAATAATTCTTTACAAAAAGAATTTATCATCCATTTGGTCATTAATAAAACAAGAATGTGAAATGAACATCAGTTGATCCAGGTCCAACTCCAGTGTTATAAATTAGTGATGTACTGAAAATGATTTTTCCTTTTTTTAAAAAAAGATATTTCTTCTGAAAGGCAAAAATTTTTTTGCAGAGTGGAGAGGCAGAGAAATTTTCCATCTACTGATTCACTCCCCAGTGGCTGTAAATGATCTGAAACGAGGAGCCAGGAGCTTTTTTCTGGTTTCCCATGTGGGTGCAGGGGCCCAAGGCTTTGAGCCACCCTGCACTGCTTTTCTAGGCCGTACGCAGAGAGCTGGATCAGAAGGGGAAGAGCTGGAGCGTGAGCCAGCATCCATTTGGGATGCCGGTCCTTGCAGGCAGATGACTTTCCTTTCTAGGCTAACAAGGCTCTGTTTTGAGTACCATTGTTATATTTCTTCTCAATTCAAATCATTTGAATCATATTGGTAAGAAATAAATGATTCTGAATTTCAGAGAATGGTGCTGTATCCAAGCTCTTGGCATCTGAAGTGATAAGAAAAATTAGAGGTTGAGAAACTACTGCTGGGCTAGTTCTTCAAGATGTGGCCATCGTGAGCTGGAGGAATGTTCCTTGAATAGGTGCCTTGCAAACATTCGCCTGGCACCAGACACTGCTTGGTGTAGTGTGCAGTGAGGATGTGTCAGTGAGAATGCTACGGTCAGGGTCATCCAGGGTCCTCAGGGGTCCTGTCTCACGCCTGCACATGCTTTCCTAATGCAGATGTGTCTTTCCTCTGTGTATGTCAAAATCCTAACAAAGGAAAGAAGAGCAGAAGGCACAGGCACCCTAGACTCATGGAAAGTGTTTCCACAGAGACACTTCAGCTTAAGATGTAGAGATTCTCCCTTGATCTGATCAGCAATGTGGCTTGTCCCAGGTTGGCCATGAATAGAGGTGCAGGAATGCCTCACTTGTGCGATTGATGGACTGTCCTAGGCCATTTTCGCACTTAGATTAGAACCTTCCTGAAACCAGGGCTTTTCTTTTCTTTTCTTGTTTTGTTTTTAGTCTTCGGCACTATAACTTTTGTATTTCATACTGCTTGTTAAGAACTCCCATGGAAAAATGACTTTGTTACTTATGCCTTGGCTGGGCTTTTTCAGATCACTCCCTTCAAGGTGCCTCTAAGCGGCACCACCAGTAGTGTTTTTACTTTTTACACTTATTCTTCCCTCCTCTTTCCCTCATTCTTGCTTTAAATAAGATTTATTAGTTTGAAAGGTAGAGATGCAGGGAGAGAAGACAGAGTGAGGGAGACAGTTGATCTTCCGTCTGCTTGTTCACCCCTGCAAGTGGCTGCAACAGCCAGGGCTGAGCCAGGTCTAAGCCAGACACCTGGAGCTCCAGCTGGTTCTCCCACATGGGTGGGCAGGAGCCCAGGTAGTTGGGACATCTTCTGCTTCCTTCCCCAGACACACTGCCGGGGAGCCAAATTGGAAATGGAACAGACAGCACTCAAGGTGATGCACCAACACCACACGCAGGAGCATCTTAACATAGCTATTGGTAGAAGACTAGTGCGTGAGGGACACTCATTTGTTCCACAGATGCTGATTGGCTTCTCTTTCTGGGTCAGCCAACATTCCTGGCCCCAGGGATACTGCAGCGAATCTGTCAGTCGAGGTTCATACTTGGAGTACTTAGATGTTCAGTGGGAGAAGCGTGCACGTGGATATTTAGGTTGGTTTCTGCTCTGATGAGTACTGAGAGGATGGAGTGCAAACTGACTGACGGGGCATGCTGCAGCACCGGGTCTCTAAGGAGACCTGGGGCTTGTGTAGGGGAAGGATTGAGTTCTGGCAAAATCAGCATAGCATCCCTTGGGGCTGGAGGGAAACAGCATTTTCACGCCAGAAAGACTAGTGTGGGTGGAACATAATAAGCCTTGAGTTGGAGGGCTGAGCTGTAAGTTCAACCACCTGTCACAAAGCGAATCCACCCGTGTAACCTCTCCTAAATCAGAAAATGAAACATTGCCTGCACGCTAAGCCCTGGCATGTCCTTTCCATTTGCTACTGATTACAAAGGAGCTGCTACTTCATTGCTGGCAACATCGAGGAGTTTTTTCTGTTTCAGAGCCTTATACAAATGAAATTACACAGCATGTTTATCAGGCGGCTTTTAGGACACAGCAGTCTTCGTTGTGTCAAGAAATAGGTTGTTTATTTTCATTGCTTAAGTATGTTCACTTGTTTGAAGACACGAGAAACCTTTACAAAGTTTGTATGAATTGAATGAAATGGTGAGCAATTTTTGGTGCAATGATGTTTAAGTCTATGCCTATGAGGATCTTCAAAAACTTTTGAAAATGGTGTGCACATTTGGTCTAGGGGTTAAGTTACTGGCTGGGACACCTGCATGTTACACTGGAGTGAGTGGGCTTCAGTACTTTCACTGTTGAAGGATATTTAGGTTGTTTCTAGGTTTTGCTGTTTCCCTGTCTTTTGCTTTGCTTACCTCCTGTGAGTGAAACTGGCACTGTGCGTGTTCCGCAAAGCAGGCGCACATCTCTTTATATTTTCATCAGCCATGACTTTTTAGCCTTTTACATTCAAGCTGTTGGATTTTCTTTGTAGTTATCATTAGCTTTGTAGCTTTAATTACCTTTCCCTGATGACTAACGAGAATCAAGATCTCTTAATTTTTAATAACCATTTGCATATTCTGTTTTGTGAAGTATTTTCTTATGTCTCATATGTTTTCTGTTTCACTTTCCCTTGGTGATTTGTTAGGCATAAGAATATTCTGGAAACAAGTGTGATGTAAATATGATTTACCTTCTTTCTTGTGCATTTTCAATTTATTTGTAAAAAATCCTTGTTTTATTTATTTTATTTGAAAGGTAGAGATACAGAGAGAAGGGAAGATAGGACAGTTTCCCATGTGTTGCTTCACTCTCCAAATGGATTCAGCACTCAGAACTGAGTGATCAGGAGCCAGGAGCCAGGAGCCAGGAGCTTCTTCTGGGTCTCCCATGTGGGTACAGGGGCCCGAGGGCTTGTGCCATCTTTTGGTGCTTTCTCAGACTGTAAACAGGGAGCTGAATTGGAAATGGAGCAGCTGGGACACAGACCAGTGCCTGTATGGGATGTTGGCACTGTAAGGTGGAGAGTTAGTCTGGCTAAGCCAGTGCACCGGTCTATTTCATTGATTTTTTTCTCCCTCATAGGCAGTGCTTTCTTTATACTATTGTAGATATCTGTATCAAGCCAAAGTATGACTATATTGTTTTATGTTCCAGAATTTCTGTTGATTTTTCTATGACACTTGGATTAGGTTAGCAGAAATTACTTCAAAAATATCTCGTAAAATGAAATAGAAAGTATCTTCTTCTCTGTCTCCTGACAAGAAATGCATACAAGATGGCATTTTGGGAACGAAAAATTGTGTTGATAGAATCAAAAGAAGGTGAAGGTCTATTGGAAGTGTCCATTGGCTTATGTGACAGAGGTAAACCAGGATGTGGCCTTAACTGAAAGTTGCTTAGAGTTAGATGGGGAGAGACCAGAGGTTGCAGGTCACCAGGTGGCCTTGTTTCCACTGCCGTGGTGTTCCTAGGTGGGTGCTGAGCAGACTGAGCTGTCCAGGTGATGTCAGCTCCAGTGCTGCTGGTCCCAGGGGCCCCAGGTACCCTGGGAGCTAAATACTGTGTTCGTTGTCTTCACTGGCATTGTCAGCATTTCTTTGATGGCATTGTCTTTGATTTCTTCTGTGTTGAAGATTGATTTATTTGAAAGGCAGAGTTACAGGCAGAGAGTGAGAGACCTTTCATCAGCTAGTGCTCTCCCCAAATGACTGGAACAGCCAGAGCTGGGCCGCTCTGAATCCAGGAACCTGGAATTCTGTCTGAGTACAGGGTCCCTGAGACTCGTGTCATCATCCTACCCTGCTTTCCCAGGCACATTAGCAGGGAGCTGGATTGCAAGTGGAGCAGCCACGAC